AGAAACTGAGTGAACTACCACTATTTTAAAGTACTATTATTACTCTCCCCGATACCTTATTTACCCATTTCTCACCCACATCTTTCCGTCGACTTCTGTTTCTGGTCTAAAAATTTTCCTAGTGATCTGAAGACTCTGTTGGCTAAGTCAGTCTATGAAATTGATGTTGAAGGTGATATTTTCTGGATCATTTCACTGCCCACCTTAAAAATGGCAAAAGGTGCAATTTAATAAGCACTGACCACATTTCTCTTTCTCTGATAATGTAATGAGCTGTGTACTTTCTGTACTCTGGGGAAAGAAACAATGAGCCCTTGACAGAAACAGAGCCTTGGTGTCACTTATAATCTAATCCATTTAGTTTCTAGCCTTTGGTTTTTATTTTTAATTATTATTGGCTTGTCATTCTCCCTGTGTTATGCCACCAGATGCTGTTTTTCTTCTGTTTTTTCAATATAGATGTTTCTTCAGGCCCTAGTTACAGAATTCAAAGCTACCTTAGGCAATCTTTTTTTTTTTTTTTTAGAGAAAAAAACACCCACTTTCATATACATTTTAAACCTCAGAGCATCACATGTAAATATTCATTATCAGCGTGTTGCTGTGGCTCATGCCTGTAATCCCAGCACTTTGGGAGGCTGAGGCGGGAGCATCACCTGAGGTCAAGACCTCTAAACTAGTCTAGCCAATATGGTGAAACCCTGTCTCTATTAAAAATACAATATTAGCTGGGCATGATGGTACACACCTATAATCCTAGCTAGTCAGGAGGCTGAGTCAGAAAAATTCTTGAACCTGGGCGGTGGAGGTGGCAGTAAGCAAAGATAGCGCCACTGCACTCCAGCCTGGGCAACAAGAGCAAAACTCTGTCTCAAAAAAAAAAGAAAGAAAGAAAGAAAAGAAAACAGAAATTCATTATCTAGTCACAAGAAGTTGTAACTGCCCTAAAATAAGTGATTAATCAAATGTATAAGAAGGTTTTGAAGAGACAGTTAGTTATATTAAGCAGCTTTCCATTTTACTTATTTATTTTTTGACTGGTCAGTGTGTTAGGATGATGCAGTATACTGTTACCACTGGACTAAGCAGGAAATGTAATGATTCCTCAAACTTTTATAATACTTGGAATTTATTCTGCTTTTATGTGTAAACTTGGAAGGATATCATGTTCCAAAGGGAGAAAGAACAGGTGATATAAGCCATAGCTTTTAATAAATCAACATGCAAATATAATCTTATTTTCATCCCTTAAAGAGGCTTGTGATCCAACAGATGGCTTTGACAGTTGGAGGCAGTGTGACCTCTTTGTTGCAAGTTAACCTCTTTAAACGTCAGTTTTTCTCATCTGTAAAATTTGTCTTATTAGTAGTATCTACCTCCTGGAGCTATTCCGATGATAAGTTGTATGATTCATGTCAAAATATATGACATAGTACTCCTAAAATATGTAACATGCAAGTGTTAAATAAATGTTGGTTCTTATTTTTATCATTTTGTTATTTCTCTATTATTAAGGGCTGCCATTATCAACTATATTCTCCATATCTGAAGTTCCTCTACATCCTCCCTCTCTGCATGAGTCTATTCTTCTATACATTCATTCCACCAACAATTGTGTATTATAATGTGGGTTTCGTAAATGTAGGGATCTTGTCTACCTGGAAGAAGTAGTATAGCTGAGCGGTTAACAGTATGGTTTCTGGAGCCAAGTTGTCTAGCTTTGAATTCTGCCTATGCCACTTACCAGATCAATGACTTTGGGCAAGTTTCTAAACCTCTTGGAGACATGCTTTTCTCATCTGTAAAATAATTCTAATACCTACCTCATAAGTTGTTGTGAAGGTTCAATTGTTTTAATATATATAAAATACTTTAAAATAGTGCCTGGTATGTAACATGAGCTATATAAGTGTTTGCTACAATTATACATTATCGTTTTTATTATTTATCATATGTCTAATATCTGGCACAGAGTCCAACACATAACAGGTATGCTGTAAACATTTGATTAGTGAATAAACAAATGCCAGGCACTGAAAATGAAAAAAGAAGAGAATGTTTCTTATCTAGAAGAGAAATGTGAGAGGTGCTCGAGAAGCTTACGGCTTAATGGAGAACTTACAGCCAGCATTCAGACATGCCAGTCAGGTTCAGTTCTCTCCAGTTCCATGTTCCCTAACCTGGGCTACACCACCAAGGATTAACTAGCACGTGGAACTTATACGGCAACATAGAACAAAATAATAAAGATGATGAATAGTAGTGCTGCAAAGTATAGTATAGCTAAACTGCTAATTAGATAGTATAGATAATATGCAATATAGGGGTACAATCCAATACTTTTGGCACATTTATTTTAATTCTACATCACGTCAGCAGAAAGCAATTAAACAATTATGTTATTAAAGAAATAGTAGCCAAATCAATCCAGACATATATGGTTAACTAATTTTTGACAAAGAAAATAAGAAAGCATAATGAAGAAAGGCTAGTCTCTTCAATGAATGATACTGGGAAAATGGAATCACCACATGCAAAAGAATGAAATTGGACTCTAATTTAGCTATGCACAAAAATCAGCTCAATTTGGCTAAAACACCTAAATGTAAAACCTACCATAAAATTCCTAGAAAAGAATGTAGGAGGAAAGCTTCCTTGACCTTGGCATTGGCAATGTTGTTTTGGATATCACATTAAAAGCTGAGGCTACAAAAGCAAACATAAATAGGACTACGTTAAACTCAAAATCTTCTGCAAAGCAGAAGAAACAATTAACCAAATGAAACAAATTGGGAAACAATTGCAAACCATATATCTAATGATGAGATAATAAGCCAAATTTATAAAGAACTGAAACAACTGAATAGTAAAAAAATAATTAACAGAATTTTAAAAATAGACAAAGGACATGAATAGATATTTCTCCAAAGAAGATGCAAAAATGTCCAGCAGGTATACGAAAAGGTGCTTAATATCAGTAATCATCAAGGCAATGCAAATGTAAACTGCCATGAGATATCACTTTACAGCTGCTAGGATAGCTATGATCAAACAGATGAGAGATAACAGATGTTGGTGAGGATGTGGAGAAAAGGGAGCACTTGTGCACTATTGATTGGGATGTAGACTGGTTTCGCCCTTATGGAAAGCAGTATGCAGGCTTCTAAATAAATTAGAAATAGATTTACCATGTGATTCGGCAATCTCTCATCTTGTTATATACCCAAAGAAGATGAAATCACCACCTTGTAAAGATATCTGCACTCCAATATTCAATGCAGCATTATTTACAATAGCCAAGAGAAGGCAACAACCTACGTGTAAGTGGATGAAAAGGTAAAGAAAATGTGTTATATATACACAATGAGATATTCAGCCTTAGAAGATAGATTCTGTCATTTATCACAACACATGAATAGACTTGGAGGACATTATGCTAAATGAAGTAAGCCAGAATAGAAGGAACAATATCGCATGATCTCACTTATATGTGGAATCCTTAAAAAAAAAAAAAATCAAATATACAGAGATAGAGGAAGAAACAGTGGTTATGGCGGGAGGTGGGAAATGGGGAGATACAGGTGAAAGGATAAAAAGTGGCAGATATGTAGGATGGACAAGTCTAGAAGTCTTACGTGCAACATAAAGACTATAGTTAATAAATTGTCTTATATTAGAAGTTTTGTTAAATAAGTAGATTTAGCTGTTCTTGTCACACAAAAAAGTAACTGTGATGATGGATATGTTAATTTGCTTCACTATAGTACCATTTTATTACCTGTATGTGTGACATAACATCATGCTGTGAACCTGAAATATGCACAATAAAATTTATTTTTTTAAATAGTAGCCCGATAAGGATAACCTAGGTATTTGAAACACTTCCTGAACGGATGTTTATTCTGATTTCCTCAAAGTCAAAGTCTTTTTAGAGAGATTTTCTTAAAATCATTTCAGAGAAGCGCTGCAGAGATGCACAGTAATGCCACTGCCATGCAGTCAGAATTGCATTTGCATCACAGGCTTTTCAGTGTAATAAAGAAAGAGGCATTTCTGTTCAAGCGATGACCATAGAGCACCCTTGAACTTGCTCATCTGAAAAGACCTGTGTTCCAAATAGACTCATATTAAATGACATTTTGATAAGAACAATTTTAAAGTGAAAAAAATCGAGGTTTGGTGAAGCTATAGGGAAATGCGGGCTCTCACATAGTGCTGGTATGAAGGTAAACCAGTTCGTCTTTCCAGAGGGAGAGGTACTTTCAGACTAGGTATCAAAAGCCCTGATAATGTTCATATAGTTTGGTCCAGTAGTTCCACTAGTATTGATAAAGCTATATTTTAGAAATTATCAGAGTTGTACACAAATATAGAAAAAGGTTTACTGCAATATTATTTATAGTTGTGAAAAATTAGAGGCAAACTAATCATGCACTAGTAAGAAACTGGTTCGATCATTTTTCTGTAGTCATGCAACATAATGCTCTGCAGAAAACAAAAGTCATGTTGTTAAAGCACATTGCTGCTGCTACAAACAACTAATCACTCTAGGTTTAAAAGGCAGGCTCCAAAACAATGTGTATAATAAGCTCAAAATTGTTTAAAGAAATATATCTAAGTAGGGAGATGGGGAATGATTTTTATTTTCTTTTTTAAAGTTTTCTTCCATGAATATGTATTACTTTTGTATCACAGAAGCTATAGCATAACAAAAAAGGCATTTGACTCCTTATTTTGCTTTCCACAAATACTATTCTGAATTCCATTATGGTTTATCACTTCCTTATTTAAAAAAAGGCAGAAGTAACTTTGTTTTATATCATCAATGATTGTACTTATCTGCTTTGACTAATACAATTAATTCATCTGTTCTGTCAAAGTATGATATAGATACTAGACAGTAATTATCACAATTTAGAATTCCAGGATTCTTCTTGCTTAAATATTTTTCTTCAATTGCATAAATTTAACTCTAATATTGATTTTTCCCCTCTTTTCAGGTAAACAACTACAGTTTAGAAGAAGTAACACATGAAGAGGCAGTAGCAATATTGAAGAACACATCAGAGGTGGTTTATTTAAAAGTTGGCAAACCCACTACCATTTATATGACTGATCCTTATGGTCCACCTGATATTACTCACTGTAAGTACCAGTGTCATCTTCAAACAGCATGCCAGACTTGCAGAACTGGAATTCTATAAAACTATTGACAAAGTGTTCTCCTTGTACCTTCCCTCTTGGTTAGCTTCTGAAAATACTTCAGAGGGAGTATCCTAAACTCCACTCCTACGTTGCCTTGCAGGCCCTGACCTAGTGTTTTGAAGGTGGGATATCCTAATGAGTTGGCAGGCCCACCATTATGGACAGGCTTAATATTGAGGATAGTGTGATTACAGTGGTGTATGCATGACACATTTTAAAAGGCTATTTCTCGAGCTCCTAAAGCATGATACTCTCATGCCATCATATTCTTTCTTCCTACTTCAGATCTCTGTAGTAGTAGATTAGAAAAGAGAGACTGGCAAAATAGACCAGAGGTAGCTCTGTGCTTCTTTCTGAAAAGGGGAATCTTGCACTTGAATCGTGAAATCATGACCCTCAATCGCCATTGTCACACCTTTTACTTTTGTTGCATTTGTTATATTAGCAAGAAAGCTGGAGGAAATTATCAGTCACTATGGCAATAGAGGTGAGCTGGAAGTGGGGGCTTCTGGGGCAACAACTAATGACTAATGAGACACTATGCTGGGGTCTTCAAAAAGTCCACTGTTGCTTAAGTCTCATGTGTTCTCCTGTTCTTAATAGGTCAACACAAACCTTATCCAAGTTTCTGTCTTTAAAGACTAGATTTAGAAGCAATTTACTTTGTTATGTAAATGTAAGGGACAGTTGTGTCAACAGTAGTAAGGTTGCTCATTCTGAAATGTTGAGAGTCTGTTTGTGAGACAGGGAACTTGGAACGTCTGCAAGGCCAGCCATTAATTAGTACTATGGTCTCAAACAAACTGTTTAACTCTTCTCAGATTTACATGTTTCTCTTGAGAGAAATGTTAAGTGCTGAATAATTTTGTTTTCTGCCCATTGCATTAGCTATTGCTTTTCTTAATGATGATTCTAAACAACTTATCTCCAGAATATGTATGTTTTCAAGCTGGCAGTAAATGGAGATATATTATCTTTCAGCTTTATCTAAGAATATGAAAGAGTTTAAGTGTCAGAATTTTTCAAACTGGAAGTATGTAGCAAAATCAGCCTTGATAGTCTGTGAGCCACTTCATGCAGGGCATATAAGGTCAATGTCAAAGAGAGAAAAGGGAGAGAACCAAACTGTCTAGTCAACCTAAGAAATATGTATTGAGTAATTTCAATATGTACAAGACACATTGTAAGGTAATATGTGGGATGCGAGAAGACAGAATCATGGCCTTTAAAGACCCTTCTTGGGAGGAAGGCTGATGCAGAGATATAAATAGAAGCAATATTAATATTTGGCATAATAAGAGGTATGTATATGCCATGGGAGAGGTAAAAATAAATGTTATTTGAGAACTCAAAGAAAAGAGATATATTATCTGTATTTGGAACATCAGAAAAATCTTTATGCATAGGAGGGCATTTCAGTTGCATCTTCAGAATGAGATTTCAATATCTGAGATGGGGTAGGTAGGAGACACAAATTATAGGTAGATGGTACAGTGGAACAAAGGTACAGATGTCAGGAAGCACAGACTGACGACAATAGGATATGTTTTGGGAGGGATATTAAAATTGATTGTTTTTAGCAAGAATGGCAAAGGGGAGAGTTTATACTGTATTAATACATAATGACAATGGAGAACATTTAAGTAAGAGAATAATGTGATCATGCTGAATTTCAGGAGGTTTTACCTCATCTCAATAAATAAAATGGATTTGAGGAGAGAGAAAGGAGTAAGACACCCAGTTAGGAGGGTCTTCAGGCCTAAAAGGGAGATAGATACCTTAGGAAGCAGGAATGAAAAAGAAAGGCCAGAGTTCTTGGCCTTTGTGGGAGGGGGATAGTGTATATTTTGGGAGAAAGTCTCATAAGAGAACCTGCTGCTTAGGAGGCTTTTGCTCTGAATAATTGGATATTAATTATGTGAAAAGAATGTGAGCTCTGCAGTTAGAAAGCTAACATTTTATTTCAATAGAAAATTAATCATTGTTCTGAAAATATGTATGCTGGATCTCTTTTCCAGTTCTTCTCTTCACCTAATTATACTAACTGGCATTGCAGACTTAACGATTATTAAGTCTTTCCCATCCTAAATATTACCATGTGCTTGTATATATTAAATGCAAACAAACAGCAACCCCTCCTCTTGAAGGACAAGAAAATCCTTGGCATGCAGCAAAGCCTTTCTGTTTTTAATTCATTTTCTGAAGTATAGCATGACACATTGAATCGTCCACATAACAGGTTTCTTTTCTCTTTTTCCTCCTCCTCTTAGCTTATTCTCCACCAATGGAAAACCATCTACTCTCTGGCAACAATGGCACTTTAGAATATAAAACCTCCCTGCCACCCATCTCTCCAGGAAGGTACTCACCAATTCCAAAGCACATGCTTATTGACGACGACTACACCAGGTCAGATATGCCTGTTGGTTAATTGGATTCCCTCTCATTACCAGAAAGAAATCATATTTGCCTAACATGTCAGGTGGTATGTTGGATACTAACTAAAGCTTCTGAGTCCCTTATTGTAGTCCCTTATTGTAAGTTTTTTAAACTTACTGTAGTTTTGCCTCAAGTGCATTGTAAATGTGTCATTGTCCTCTGATAGGAACCAAAGTCACAAATTCTTTGTGAATAAATAGTAAGATATAATTGTACATCACTTTGCTGCTTATTAAGACTCTATATCTGATCTCATTTAAGCTCTACAGCCATACTATAAGATAGGTATTATTATTGAGAAGAGAGAGTGCTGAGGTTCAAAAGGAAGGAAGTAGCATGCCAATATTATATATTTGGTTAGTGGAATTCAGGACAGAAATTCTGTCTTTTGGCTTGAAATTCCATGTTTTTCCCATTGATAGTTATCCACAATTCAATGGAAGTGGAGAGCTAATGAACCTTCAATAGTTCAATAACTATAAGTGAAAAGGAAAGGAGTGAAGTTAACTTCTAATGGTTCGAATTTAATATAGCCTATTAATTCCAAAGGGTCACAGGGCAGGATTCTAGGACAGAGCACACCCATTGCTAATCCTACAAGTAAAGGGAAATTTAGCCAGCACTCCTCGGAAAAGGACAGACAGCTTTCAGAGAAGACCAATATAATTTACTTAAATGGTCATTAGGAAGGATTCAATAAAGCTTGGATGATGAATAAGTTAATGAATGAATAAGCAAATGAATAGTAAGAAATGTAAATTTAAAACACTTTTATTTTTCACTGGTCATTACATTTGGCAAAGGAATACAAAGATGATCAAGGAACAAAAATTTTCCCCAAACTCCCTCCAGGGTGACCTGTCCTGGGGTACCCAAAGTGACAACGTGACATAAGCCTTATACGTTCTCCATGTTCCTGGAAACATATACAAATGTATTCTCAGGTATATGTGGGATGTGACATTATTTCTACAAAATAAGTTTGTATTTTACACGTTGTTCTACAACTTAATTTTCTCCATGAATAATACTTTTATCAAAAATGAGATTATATGTACATATGTGTGCTTAATTTCTATATGTGCTTGTGTGTAAAGGATGACAGAGATGGATTGTTTTGGTTTTATACCCTGCCTGTCTAACTGAAATCATTTGTCAGCCTTTCAAAAAGGAAGGGACTTCCTGCCAGTTAGCCTTCCTCACTGGTGTATGTGCATGCTTTGATCTTTCCATTCTTTGGTATATCTTTTTAAATGATTAAGCATTTTCCATTTATTTTGCTCAAGTTTGCTGAAGTAGCTCTTTATATCTTCAGCCAAAGAATGGAATGTTTGGATGCTGAAAATGGGCATCTGTGGTGTAAATCAAATATAAGCTTCTTCCTATGCTGAAATATCTGATCTCTATGCTCTTAATTAAAATGAGGGCTGCAGCAAAGATAATCCTCGTTGTTCTCTAAGGAATTCTGTAAATACAGGCACCTTTATCCACCAGAGTGATGATCTCTTTGCTCTCATCCTATTACTAATATTTGATATGAGTTTAATTTGAAAATGCCATTTTATGTTACTAGGCCCAATGGTGAATTAACATTTATTTAAGCCTCTTCATAATCCAGACCCTTTGCTAGCTGTTTTACATACGCTATCCATTTAATCCTTCCAAAAACACAGAAAAGGGCTTTCATCTCTATTTTAGAGATGTGGAAATTGAAGTTCAAAGAGGTTATGGAACTTGCTTATGGTCACATAGTTTTTATTAATAAGTAGAAAAACTGAGTTCCCTGACGACTTTAAAATCATAGCTAAGAAAAAACATTTGAATTTTCTGATTTTAAAAATGAAAACCAAGTCATATAAAACTAGGTTCATCACAGAAATATGTGGCTAGAAAGGGACCTCAGAGTCTTGATGAGCTCTAAAAGCAACTTACCTCTACCCCTGGCTAACTGTGTGACCCTGGGCAAGTCATTTAACTTCTGCAAGCTTCAGCTTTCTCACCTGTACAAGGGAATAGAAGGTGAGTCTATCTCAATACGTTGCTGTAATGATTAAATAAACAAATGAATGCAAAGAACTTAGAACAGTGCCTGGCACGTGATACGTACCCAATGAATGTTATCTATTTACAGTCACTATACTCACTATAATCTTAATCCATTTCAGATGTCACATGAAGTATTTTTATAGTACACATAAGATATGCCTCAATATCTTACATCCTGCCCCTGCCTCCTCTCCTGTTCCTCTAGAGGACAGTCTTGCTAATATTTCTGTGTAAAATCAGAATGGTTGGTGCCTGGCAAACTGTTAAAGTAAATTATATCAGTTCACATGCATAAACTTGCATATACACACACCTCCACCACTCTCTTACCACTGCTGGTGTTCTCTCATAGGTGTTTTATGCCGTAGGCATTACCATAGGGCTCAGAGGTATTTGCTCAGAGGCAGATTCACTTCCTTACTCATAAATATTAATTGAATACTTCCTATAAGACATTGGGCGCTACACTAGAAATGCACAGTTGAATAAGAAATAGCATCTAAGAACTATCAAACTGGGGCAAAAATATATGTAAGCCAATGGATTCCCCAATGCCTGTTCCCTGATTTATGCAGACCCCCTCTATGAAGTTTTCCACAAAGCCTAATTTATTATTTTTTTTAATCTTGAGATTATGTATTTTGGCATCAAAATACCCTTTCTTTTGTAAAAGAATTGTGGCAATTATTTACTATGTTTTTACTTAAAAAAGAAAAATTGGCAACTTTTTGTTAGTCTTCATTTATTGAATGTTAAATATCTATAAAATTCAAAAGCCTCAGAATTACTAACAGATGCAAACAAGCAAAAATAGGGTCAATTCTCTAAAGTGACCTCATGTAGCCCTAGCAGAATTCCCTAGCACCGCAAGAGACATTTAGGAAATACTGCTAAATGAATATGAGTTTTACGTGAATGCCATGGGAACAACCTATGGCATCAAAAAAAGTTTTAAAGAGGAAATGACTCTAGTTAGCACTTGGAAGCTGTGTAGACATTGGTCAGAGAGTCAAGAGATGAATAAGGGTATTTGTGGTAGGGGGATAGATTGTGCAGAGTCACAGAAAAATATGAACTAGAATAAAATAAAAAAATTAGAGCCTGAAATACAAGACTCACAAAGGAAAATGGTACCTACCTTTATATCATCTTTGTATTCCTATTCCTTCTCTCCTATGCAACCTAGCTGTAAGATTAACAATACATAGAGTAATAAAAACAAAAGGATCATTACCATGCACTATTAACACTGAGTGCTATAATATACATTATTGCTCCTCTATTATTTACATGATATTCCTATTCTTGATTTTTACAGATTAAAAAAAATCCTCAGAGAGGTTAAGTAATTGCTTCATAGGATACAGCAATCAAACAGAATCAAAATTTGAATTCAGGTCTGTCTGTCTTCAAAGGCCCCATCCCTGCAACCCGGGTTGTTAGTGCTGTTCCTACCACCTACTACCTAGATAACTCTGAACAAGTCAGTTCATCTTGATGAGTCTTGACTTTCTCATCTGTAGATTTGCTATAAAGGATCTTCTTATTTCCTCATGGAACTGTGAGGTTTTAATATGTTCTTATTACCTCATGGAACTGTAAGGCTCTATATAAATTATTATTCTAAGTTCATATAGCTGCTTGTGTTTGACACCCACTTTGCATTTTCCTAAAATAGTAAATCAAGAAAATAAATTTCTAATAATGGAACTTGGGCCAGCAGGAAAACATGTCTGTGAAATGGGAACTTTGCCATAACCTATAAAATCACATCAAATTGGAAACCTTTTGTTCCATGTGCTCGTATCTTAATCTGTAAGAAATGTTTCTCTATTTTCCTGATTTGTAGTCACATTTGTTATGGATATATAGTAAGAATTTCAAAGCAATTTTGATCTAAATAATGCTACAATAACCCAGGTAGAATTAAATTTATTTCTATTAAAGAAATGTACACCTGCATAAACTGGGAAATGTGATTTTTCCATGAATTTAGAAAAACGACACAAATGAAAAAGTTTTGGATACAGTCTCTTAGTAGCATGCTCACTGAGTCCCTATAAATCAGTATTCATTGTGATGTAAAATCCGGTTTTCAGTTTTCGGAAAACAAAGCCATTACAATGATACTGAGATTAGTTTTGGCTCTGGCATTATAGACTATCAGAGTTGAAAGGGCCATAAATAAATATAGAGTCTAATCTCCCTTTTTAGGATGGGCCAGGGACACAGGGCCCAGAATGATTTGTTGGCTTTCCCTCGTCCAGTATTTGTAAGTAGTACAATCAGATTTAGAGCACATGTATATGTGTACCTTTTTTTTTTCCTGAAGTAAGAAAGTAGCAATTATGAAAAACTATATTCAATCAAGGATTACCAGGTAACAGTGTCTATTTTGTACATTACCTGTAACTATGAGTTCTATCTTTACTGAACCAAGTTTTCCCTAGTTACTCAGAAAAGGTGCAAACTACGCATCATCACTATCTGGCCGACTATACTTAGGATATGCAAACAGTACTAAAATGAAATAAAAAATTTGATAATGCAAAGTAAAACTGCTCTTCCAACATGTAAGATCTTGATTTCCTAAGTTATGAATGTGATAAATGTCATTATGAAACCCAGGGACCTAAATTATAACTGTAAGAGATATATTTCTCACTGTTAGAAACCAAGTTCACGTAGCTGTGAACTTAGTGTGTCTTTCTGGCTGGCTCTACATATTGGTCCTTCATATCTTTTAGTTGATTAAAAAGCATAATATAAATAAAATCTCAATAAAGATTTCTCTTCTACAGAGACTTTCCAAGAACTGCCCTAAACTGTAACTCTAACATTCACCTGTTTGACTACCTCACTTACAGAACAGATATAATCCCATCAGTCTAGAGTCCATGTCTACTCTATTGCCTCTGAATTAC